GACAGACACATGGATAAAACAGTAGCTGACAGCGGGGGGCGGGTGGGGTGTAAATAGAATATGTGCAATAGATCCGGTAGAGAGGTGTGTGTGTGTGTGTGTGTGTGTGTGTGTAAGCGGTCCAGCAGCTCGGTGTCAGGTGGGCTTTGCTCTGTACGTTGGGTTTTTCATTTTACATCCTTCGCAGATTTATTTCCCGGTCGGGCAAGACACCAATGCTGCATCTGCTGTGATAAGAGACTCGATATCATCTCTTAGATTTGGGGTGTCGGAACATGACATAAGTGTTCTTTTCTGGGTTTTTAAAAGTCCCAACAAAGTGTTTCTCAAGATGTTGGACTGTGTTTATTTTTACCCGGTTAGTCATCGGCGTTTGCTGCTTCCACGGACGATTAAGTGCTAAATGGTCACGAAACACCGTTTTACGCGCGTGTCTCCACACGAGTCTTTCGGTCCGTGCGACGATCCGGTTTCACAACTTTTTCTAACTGTAAAACATGTTTCCCCTCCGTGGCTCGCTGGCATGTTTGACGCAGCACGGCCGCCACGGAGCTCCGGAACATCTGGCCAGCTGGGATTCGATGCTCCTGTGGGGGGGGGGTTTGTGTGGAACCTCGGTCAGGTGCAGGTGCACTGCTGACCTGCTGACCTGCAGTGTAATGCGGGGCGTGGCGGCGGCGGCGTGCACTTTTGAGGGAAGTGTTGGCGTTCTCTCCAGTGAGCTCGTCTTAACTGTCTTAAGGTTCTAAGCCGTCCCTGCAGCCTAGAAGCTGTCGGGTGGATCTTTAATCCCCTCCATCTCTCTCTCTCTCTCTCTCTGTCCACATGGACGCAATGTATTTTTATTTATCCTCCGTGTGCTGCAGCTTAAATAGAAAGGAGATGACTAGTTTCCTCCCACTTGAACCTCCGCTGTCATGTGCACTTTCTAAAACACTGGATCAGGTTGCAGTCATCAGATTACTCGGACACAAATTAGAGCTGGAATCGATGGCGTGGCCGTCGTTAATGTGGAAATAACGCGGTGAGGGAGTTATGACATGCTTCAATCATTTCAGTCCGTCAGGTCGTATTCACCGGGACGCACGAGATGAATCTGGCCCGTGTTTCTATGTGCGGTAGAATACATGTAGTTGCTGTGTGTTTTTCTCCTGCATCACTCGCCCTCATTTAATCTCTCTCTCTCTCTCTCTCTCTCTGAACCTCCCTCCTCAGACGAATACAAGATGAAGGGAGTGGAGGAGGTGAAGTACATGAGAGGGGAAGAAACCCGGCTGAATGCACGCAACCAGGAGAACCTGGTGAGAGAGACGCACACACGCACACACACACGCACACATGCACACATGCACACGTTGTCTCCTGCACATGTGCAGAAACACGCGGAGCGGTGCCTCACATGCAGGTGGCGGCGGCCCCGCTGGCTGGTGTGGAATGCAGGGGCCGACCTCTCGGTTGGTTCAACTCTTTTTTTTTTTTTTTTTTTCCGAAACCCGTGGAAAGAAATGTGGAATCGTCATTGAACAAGTCTTTGGTTTTTTTTGGAAAAATGCAATGCAACAGCAATAAATAAATAAAAACAGTAAATCAAAACACTCTGTTTGAAGACACAAGGTACGATTTATTCTCAGCACACGGAAGGATGATCCACCCACCAGACATGAGTGTCATTTGATGCTGAGTGTGTGTGTGTGTGTGTAAAATCCTTACAACTACAGTAATGACAAGCGGTAGAAAACACACCATTTCCAACCTCATGTTTTACTGGATGTAACCTGCCGGCGTAAAAATGTGGTTTCCCATAACTCCCAGTTTGAAACAAAACCACCAGCCATTCACGACAAGTCGTGCAGTTCGTGAAGTGAAGTGTACTTTACATTAGAGTAAGTCAAGCTTTTTTTAAATCCAGATTTAAACACTGTAAATCTGTAATAAAAATGTAAACGCCACCGTTTGTTTTTCATTCCCATTTTTCACCAGTTGAGATGACAGACCTTTGCACACAAAAGGCTTATTTCAAGTCTTCTGCACAGATTTTGTTCGAATCCTTGTCAGCGAACACTTGACAGATGTGACTTATCAAGATGCTGATTAGACGGCATGAATATTACAAAACACAAGGACACAGCTGTTGCCCCGTGGCTTTATGGTTCCTCGCCCGGCCAGAAGCCGTCCAAGGATGTTGTTTTCCGAGAATCGGGCCGCGTGAAATACTGTAAATGGCACCCAGAGTCCATCACTCGTCCCGATGAAACGACGTTTTCACATTTCAGAGTGGAATCTCGCGTTTAACAACACCGAAGCGCTGTCACTTAACCGCCGTTGATTTACGTGGCTGCAGCTCGGGAACCGTCGGCATCACGGCGACGGGCCGCACGCCACACGGAGAAGGAACCTCTTCACCTCAAGCACGACCACGCCGCGTGGTTGGACCCGGTATTGGTTTTCTACACAGCAGGTCACGCTGTGTTTTAATGTGGCAGGAAACTATACGCAGAGGCTCAAAGACATGGGGGAGGAGAGAGGGGGGGATGCTGGGTGAGGAACCGCAGGTCTGATGTGTTGTGTTGTGTGTTTGTTCAGTACTGTGGCTGTTTGCCGAGGTGAACTATTTGTGTGTTTTAACAGCTGATAAGGGGAACTCACGCTGTACGTTTGTGTGTGTGTGTGCGTGTGTGTGTGTGTGCGCTTTCAGGAGAAGAGCAATGTGCAGTACAGGGGCAAACCGCAGAAAGAGGTCTCTTCGGCAAACATCAAGTCCAAGTAAGTGTCCAGTAGCTGCATATCACCCACGCGTTACAGGCGGCTCCGGAGCGCCGCCGTTACAGAACACGCGCGTAGTTCCTCTTTGACGCATAGCGGTCATGCGGCCGTTTTCGCCGGCTCCCTGCGAACGGCTCCAATGAAACCCGAAGCGCTCGCTGAACCGGTGGCCTGTTGTGATTTGGGTGAGCTGGCCCTTTAAGAGACGGTTCCGTCCAGCTTCCATTAAGTCATTACTTAGAACGGGCGTGTTGATATTAGGACGCGGGAAGTAAGTGATATGCTGCGTCTGGTTTTTATTACGCCGTGTGTGTGTGTGTGTGTGTGTGTGTGTGTGTGTGTGTGTGTGTCTGTGTTTTGTACATGTAAACAGATGGTTGTTGGTGGCTGCGCGATATTTTGCCTCTTGGACGTTAATACTTTAATAAATGATTATTTAAATTCCTTCCTCCACAGCCGTTCTGTCTGTGTGTGTGTGTGTGTGTGTGTGTGTGTGTGTGTGTGTGCGGGGGGGTGTAATGAAAAATTCTCAAGGATGTATTTCTGGCCTCCTCGTCTCTCCCCCCTCCTCGCTCGCTCCGTCTCTCTTTTTCTCTCTCTCTCTCCCTTCTCAGCATTCACAGGTCAGAGAGCCAGGCAGGAATTTTTCAAGATGCTGGATGAGAAGATAGAGAAGTGAGGGGGGGGGGGTGTTTTGGTAAGTGGGGTGGAGGGAGGGGGGGGGGGGGCGAGTGAGCTTTTTAACAAAAACGGCGGGCTCTAACATTTAAGAGAGAGGCGTACTACCAACAACAGGAATTAGTGCACTTTGTCGCTCAGCTTATGGGCTCCACACCAGCCCAGATGGTGGTGGTGGGGGGATGGAGGGGGGGGGGGTGGGGGGGGGCAGTGACGAGCACTTGCTGCTCTTTGTCTGGCATTTGATCTCGCCGGTAGTTCGTGACTGAAAAGGAGGTTGTAGTGAAGCGATGGCGAGTGTCTGATCGATTCAAATTTGGTGTGATGCATTTGATTTTTGATTTTTTTTTTCAAGCGGCCTTAAAATGAGTCGGTGTGTTTTGTGAACAACAACGTTTTTAGCCGTATTGTAGGTGTATTGCTGCGTGGAAATAACTTTCATCACAAACAACTTTTCATCTCGCGGTCTGGCCACTACAGAAAGTCCAGAATGTGCCGGAGAACATTGTGATCCATTGACGGTCCAGAAAATAAAGAACTGAAGCCCAAGCTGACGTCTTCAAATGTTTTTATTTTGACCGACGTGAGGAGATCGTGTATCCCTTGAGACCGCGTAGAAGCATCTAATGCCTGCAGCCGAGTCGCAGCCGCTTGGTTTATTGATTACGGGCCTTTAAAGCAAAACGCCAAACAGTCGCCGATTATTTGAAGAATGACTGACCGGTTAATCGACTAATCCTCAATTTGCAAAGCAACCACGGCTGTCAGATAACACTAGTGGGGGCAATGAAGATGAAAAAAAAAAATGTGGTGAGGTAAAAGTTTGAGGTTGCACAAAATGAAAATACAGCTGCTGAGTGGTACTTTTTGTTTCTCTCCACTTGAGAGGCGGCCTGTGTTTTTAAAGCCTTTAAATCGAGACAGCGAACAGTTAGACGAGCAAGGGGAGGGGGTGTGTGAGGGGGTGAGGGTTTGCTCTCACCCAGCATTTGCTACGCCGGTACCGGCACACAGACGAGTGTTTGTGCGAGTAAGAGGGTTAAGGATCCTTTTTAAAGCAGTTTATTTACTGAGGATACATCATCCTCTCTCTCTCTGTCTCGCTCTCTCTCTCTCTGTCTCTCTCTCTCTCTCTCTCTGTCTCTCTCTAATGTCTCTCCGCGCAGGGACGAGACTACTGTTCGGGGGAGGAGGAGGACGAAGACGGGACATAGCACAGAGGCCCCCCGAGATTCACCCTCACAGAGGGCCTCACAACGTGCGCGTGTGTGTGTGTGTGTGTTGATGCGTGTGCCTGCTGAATCAGTGTTTTACCAATGCGGCGTTGAGATGTTGGCAGGAGCGTGTGTGTGCGTGTGCGTGTGTGTTTTTGAACGTACGGCAAAGATAGTATTTTAATCGAAAGAAGTGGGGACGAGTGAGAGAGAGAGAGAGAGAGAGAGAGAGAGAAAATGGGATGAAGAGCACTTTTCTTCGGAGGCCACAGCCCTCCTCATCCCTTCAGGCCCCCCCCGAGCGGACAGATGGAGGTGGCGAAGCGATGAAGGCGCAGACGGATGAAAGGAGGGAGGGATGGATGGCAGAGGACGTGACGAGAAGGAGACCGTCGGCTCCGCGTCCCTCCATCTGTCCCTCCGCGTCCATCCGGCTGTACCTGCCTGAATATTTTAACCCGTGCAACAGGACGTTGGGACTCCTGAACGTGGAGCTCCTGGTATGGACAAATGTCCCCGGCGCTGGGGGCCCGGGACTCACGGAAGGAGGCCCCTGGGGAGACAAAGGTGGTGAAAGCGGAGGAGTCGCGTAACACCGCCAGGAACTTTTTGGCCCGTCCACCGACAGCCGGGTCACCTGGGCCACGGGGGGACTGAGCGAATGGGTGCGGGCGGAAAAAGAGTGGAAAAAAGTGTGATATTTTAATAAGAGAGAGTAAGGGGCACGCCAGTGATTTAGAAACTCTAAACTACTCTGCCTTCTGATGTCAAGGACCTTTTATTTTTATTGTTTTTCGCAGCTCCGTGTACGGCCCCCTTTTTTTTTCTTTTTCTTTTCTTCAGTTTGTTTTCCTCTTGCCTTCCTTTTGTAGTTCATCAGCATCATCCTCGTCATCCTCCTCACCACAGCAGGCAGACTGAAGCTAATTCAGATCATTCGTGTCTCGACCCAATCCCCCCCCCCCCCCCGTTCATATGTACCGTAACACTGCGGATCAAAGCCGACACACACGTACATACATGGAGACTTTTATTGTTCACATCGCACACTGTCATTGCAACACACCTCAGCAAGTACAGATAAACCCGACAACCGCACACAAACGCACACACACACACACCCCTTTCATTTCACCAGCAAATGGCAATCTGCATCATAAAGCTCTAGTTCTGCTTTGATTCAGTGTTCTCTCTCACACACACACACACACAGACACACACGCACACATGAGAAAAAAACGGGACTGAGCTCACTTTTTTCTTTTTTTTGTTGGGTCATCTCTACCAGATACTTCCTGTTTTATTTTGGATACTTTCTTTTTTTCTATTAAAAATAAAATCAAAGAAGCTCTTACTTTGTGTGGCATTGTGTGAGTACTTGTGCGTGGCCAGAATGCTGGGTCAAGGTGTGTGTGTGTGTGTGTGTGTGTGTGTTTTCCTGTGGTCATGCAGTCAGAGCAGAGTGAAAACTCCCCCTGGCGGCACCGTATCAGTACTGCAGTCTAGTGGGTTTTATAGTTGCATGTCACCCAAAATGAAATGCATTTATTAGCATGTATTAGAATTTTATTCCCGGGTTTAATTCTTAAACAAATGGACTTATCAGAAACGGCTTATGATAGATTTAGTTCAGGTTGAATTGAATATTTAACATCTTGCTCTATTGAAGTTTGTGGAGACCCAAACCGCTATAAGGGAGAGGATATAGAACCTAAATGTGTCAGTTGTCACATCTTTAAAGGAATAACACTGTTCCTCCGTATCTGTTGGTTGAAGACTGTCAAAACATTTCCCATATATGTTTAGTTTATCCGTGTTTCCTTTCTGCTCCCTCCAAATGACCAAAATTTGTAGCACAGAAATGGTGGTTATTTTTTGTTGCAATTTTATTGTTTTATGCCTCTTTTACGGCAGAGTACTTGGGAAATCAATAACTTATATACAGAAACCATAAAAAGCTTGCTCTATATGTTTTAAATCAATTTAACGTTCCATCATGGAGGCATAACTCATTCTAGTGCGATAAGTAAAAGCAGTAATCAGATCTAAGGACACTGAGCATTTGTCCTTGCAGTGACTAAGAGAGTGACAGTACTTCTGATTAGCAAGCAACTTTCCTTCACAAATGACTGCAGTGTGTGCGTGTGTGTGTGCGTGCGAAACCCAACCGCGCACAATCGATATCTGCCCCTATAGTACTGCCCCTAATGTGCACCCTGTGGCACTTGATGCCATAATGCTTCGAGTGAGTGTCAGTGGTTGAGTTGATTATCACATCATGAAAGTAGTCAGTATTCTGGCCTTTTTTCCCCCCCAACTGTCTCAAACCAAAACACACACACACACACACACACACACACACACACACACAAACTGCCTTTGTAGCTTGCATGACTCACAAGCGGGGGCACATGAGGTTACAATCAGCAGCCACTGTGCACACCAGCAACGTGAAAGGGTCCCCGTGGGTCGGTGCTTGCAGAAAGGGGCCCCCACACACACACACACAAAGCAATAAATGTATGCTGGAAGCAGTCTGAAAGCGAGGCGGGGGGCGGGGGCATTTAATACGAGGGGGTTGCTGAAAGAGATTCTTGAAGGGAGGAAGCGAGGAAGAGACTCATGTTGCCTGTAAACTTAGACAGGAACGTAGGCGAGAAGTTGTTCTTTCCACTCTGACGTACCAACAAAGAACTCACACCTCCTTGCTGTGTGTGTGTGTGTGTATATGTGTGTGTGTGTGTGTGTGAGAGAGAGAGAGAAAAAGAACCCAAAGTTCTCATTCGGATCCAATCACTTGGATTATTCCGATCCAAATACACAGTCATTACGGAAAATCTGTTTTAATGATGAAAAAAAACATGTTTCTGGTCAACGCGTATATAATTTTGTTTGTAGCTTTCGGCAGCTTCTGAGACATTGATACCTTGGATTTATTTGCTGCCTCACATTAATTCATGTATTGCTAATCAATCTGGAAGGGAGAGCAGTTTGGCCTGTTTTGAATTTAGTTGCTAGGATAGTCCTCAGGTTTATATTTGAATCACAGCTTGGGCCTTTCAGGTAGCATCTCTTATGCAGCTTGCATCCAGTGGCTCCCTTCAAAGCATTTCAGAGGAGATGAGGGATGAAGGGTCTAATGATGGAAGCCAAACGTGTGACCTTTTAGGAGGATTACTCCCCATTGTTTTAGGTTATCATTTATGTCTTATGCATGTGTAACAAACCCAATTAAAGCAGCATCGATCAGGCCCTGGCACACGCATGTCGAGTGTACTCGCCAAACTCTGGCTTCATGCTTCCATGTATTTCTGCGACCATAAATATTGCAAAAATAGGCCAGGTAAAAAGAAGGTAAAAACATTAGGTGGTCTAAAAATGTCACGGAAAAACAAGTAGCAGTGAAAGGTTTGGACACATTTTCTCCAGAAAGTCTATAGTCAAAAATATATGTTTAAAAGTGTTTGAGAAAAAAGTCAAAATATATTGTGGTGTAAATATGTCAGAAAAAAATATTAGGTAAAGTGAAGTGACTTTAGGCTGATGAGTAGCGAGGAGAAGGTTTCTGTAGTTTTTTAATCCATCCAGTCTTAAGCCACATTTTCTGGATACCTGGTGGAAGAGGATTGTTAGGGGCAACGGGGAGCACCTGGTGATCCTCAGTCTCCCTCCCTCCCCCCCCCCCCCCCTCTCTCTCGCTCTCTCTCTACTCTACAGAATGCTTTGCTTTGCTACTTATCAGCGTAAAGTCGCTTTATCGTTGCTGTTATGTTTACACGCATACACCCATATCTTACATTTTGTTAAAGGTTTCTTATGGTGTATTCCTTTTTGTTATGACCACAATAAAGACCGAGGTAAACCTTCGCACACAAATGTGAAGTGCGCAAATGTGCAAATGTGAATGGACAAAAATATTCGTTATTTAAATGTTGAACAGTTTTGGGGAAATTTTATTTTTATGAATCCAAACTGTTTGTTTGTCCGTGGCAGGTTTGGACACGATGACTGTGCCTGTCCCTACGTGTGACTGTGTGTTTACATGCAAACGTTTCCCATGTAGAGAGCATGGGTCCCCTTAAAGGACAATGGGTGGACGGGTCCCTGCCTGGAGTAGAGCGGGTGCGCCGGGAACCGCAAGGTTGGCGGTTCGAGCCCCAGCTGCTCCATGTCGAAGTGTCCCTGAGCAAGACGCCTAACACCTAATTGTAAGTCACTTTGGATAAAAGCTGATGTGCTAAATGACCAGTAATGTAGTTTAAGGCCCAGCAGGCCTTCGCTCCGTGTCCTAACTCTCTCCAGCAGGTCCTCGCTGCCTACTGCCTCTTCGGAGTAATCTACCTCTTCTAGCTGTAAGCATGTTTAGAAATCTGTCGGCGTCCAGCCTGGTGGCCTTTTTGTTCTCACCGTGGAGAAGACGACATTTCCCATCCATCAACCGTCCACTAACCACATTCCTGTCTTTCTGCTCGCCATCCATTTGTGTGTAAAGCCCCTCCATGCAGATCCATACTCTGGATTACCTTGGCAAAGAACATGAAGAGGGAGGCCGAGGCTTTGGGAAAAGATAAATGGATGCATTTGCATTCATGCCACACATGCACAAGAAGTGACCTACTTAAATCCCAGGAAGCTAATTGTTTTGTGTGAACACCGTATTGTATCCATGAACATTGATGCAACCGTCTGGCTGGATCCATCAATTTGACAACATTGGAAATTGTTTGAATATCCTGCTTCACTTAAGTGACCGGCAGAGTACGGACATGGACGGAGCCTGCATGCTTTAATGCCCCACTGGTATTTTATTACACGGCAGTCCGACCAATTCAAATGAACCTGTGCAGGCGGTCAGCCTCCTTGGTGACCGGAGCCCACGGAGGAGGCCGTGGCTTTGCAGCAGATAATAGTCCCCAACGCCTGACCAGGATATGTGTTCATGTTGTATCTCTAGCACCGTTTGGACAACAAGTCAACATGCATGTAAGAAAGAAAGCAAGCAAGAAAGAGAATCTCAAGGATGAAACAAGAGCGCCATCTGCTGGTTCCCTCTTTCCCCGGACAGCAAAGCGCACCAGTATGAGCCCCCAGGTCATTGCCTCTGGTTTGTGTTTATTTTCACCTGATGAGATCGGTTCCAGGTTCCCAATGCTCTCGTAGCAGGGGGGGGCAATGGCAGAAACGCTGACTTCCCCTCAGGCCCTTAAAGAACCATTAGATTTTCTTTAAAATTCACCACGTGAGGCGGTGCCGCAATCACACGTCTATACTTTTACAGAAAATAAGAGAAAGCACAACGTGCGGTACGTATTTCTCCCGCAGTTTTCTGTATGGCACAGCGTTCTATTTATTGAACCGGGTCGTGGAGGATTTACCCAGCTATTTGGAGCCACGCTCTCCCTGCAGCCACAGCTTGAACAAACCAAAAGCCTTTAAAACGTACATTTATCCCAAACATAGCCATAAAAGAATGACACGGCTCGGCTCTGTCCGTCATCCGTAGTTCAGTCACAGACGGAAACATGGCTGCACGTCAAGTACGCGACCACAATTACAAAGCAGCACAATGCTGTGACAGAGCGGGTGAATGATGAAAATGTAGTGTGGGGAGCCCTCGCGTTGAAGCCAGACACTGGGCCAAAGGGTGGGCCCGTTTCTTTTGTTTTTCCAGAACTGAGTAGAGAGAGAAGGTACATTTTTGGCTTTGGCATTTTGTTTAATGCACTTGAGAGCTAAACATATATGGCTCACTTCTATATTCCCTGACCTCTGACTTTTGTTTAAAACAGCTGGAATTGAAAAGACTTTGGAATAAAAAGTTTAGCAGAAATTACATCACAGATATTTCATTTTTTGTGATTTTCTTTTGGTGTTTTATGACTTTGTAACGGCACCATCCACGTTACAGATCTTAACCGTCTTTGGGAAAGCACTAGAGGGGGCTAAGGGAATACCCCGACAGGTTTGAAGCAGTCCTTTCTCTGTCTCTCTGTCTGTCCTTCATCCACAAGAGCGTCCAACAGCAGAGGGCTCGGCAAAGTACTCTCATTACCTCACAGGACGGGGGAAAATATTACCAAGTGGCAGAGATCCCATTGCTTAAATAAACAGACGCCTGTCTGCTGTGAATGCACTACAATTTAAATAAGGTTACGACTGTAATCATATAAGAACACGCCGAATAATATTATGACAGCATCGGGAGCGTGGACGCCAACCTTCACAGGGGTATATTAGTGGATGGCTTTTATACAACAAATTCACAGCAAACTTCAGTTTTTCTGTGGGAAGTTTGGGAAGCTTGAAATGTTTGTGACGGGGAGTCGTGTTATTTTGGATATGCACTACTTCAATGTTTGGTTTTGCTGCTATGATTTCATTGGGTGGTTTTATGTCCCATCAAAAAAACTTTTTTCAGAATGAGTAAATACACATTCACAGGAATTACAGCCTCCTGCCCCCCAACATTACCCTTATCTTCATTTGTAACTTCCTCATTGAATTATCTCAACTATCTTGTTTACTTGCAATTTACAGTATTTCTCCATATTGGGATTTTTTGTTGATTAAAAAAAAACACATTACCGTATTTAAGGAATGTGAAAAGTGTAAACTTCCAACACTTTATACACTTAAAGTAAAATAATTGTGTACTTTGCAGTTACAATTTCTAAACTTTTACAATAACAGGTTAAAAGGTGCAGCAGTCCGTCAGAATGTTGGTGGAAAAGAACAGCAAGTATGGAAATAAAGGGGGGGAACACGATGTTCTTCATGTTGACACATGTTGAATGAAAGCACTGACTGGAGGACGCTCCGTGTCTGAATAATTAGTGGTTCGTGCGCTCGTGAGACATTTTATTTTATTTTATAATCTCTGCACTATTTTTCCACCAAAAGTGGGAAGAGTCCCCAGACCCGCAGCAGCGGCAGCCATGTGTGCGGGTTGTGGGAGGGTTCAACCCCCTCCACCCTCTATACCGCCAATCCTCCTCCTCCACCACCCACTCCCCCCTCGCTCGCCTCACCCCTCTCTCACTCTCGCTCAACCTTTTCCGCGACTCCAGGTCCCAGGTCGGGCGACACTCCGACGGATCCCCCACCCCCCCCCACCCCCCTCCTCCCGCGCCACCTGGAAGCGAAGATGCGCGCGGTCGGGGCCGTGGGAGTCGCCGCGCTGTGCGCGCTGCTGGCCGCGGCGGTGCGCGGCGGCGCGTCTGTTGAGCTGGCGACGCTGGTGGAGGAGCAGCTCAAGCCCGAGTCCTCGCTGCTGAAGCCAAAGGTCATGATCGCCATCGTGGCTCGCAACGCGGCGCACAGCCTGCCGCATCACCTGGGCTGCATCGAGCGGCTGGAGTACCCGAAGGAGCGCATAGCGATCTGGTGAGAGACCCGGGCTGCGGCACCCGGCTGGCTGCGGGACGGGGATCGCTCTTTCTGGTGTTAATGCTTTGCAAAGATTTCTGTCATATCCATCGTCTACTTCCAAAGTTTCAAATGTGCAACTTCCGAGACGGGCTTTGGTCGCAGAGGGCCGCGTTCTGCGTTCTGCATGGCCAGCAGCGTGCGTCCGAGTTAATTCTAACAACAAACGACACCCCCCCTGTTGCTGCGTTTTACGATGCTCTCAAACTCGCGTGTCTGCCAGCATCCAAATTGCACGCTGTGTGAGAAGATGAAAAGGCTGCTGTGCATGTTGGGTTAGGCTTAACCCTTAATCACCCCCCCTCCCTCTCCCCCCTTTGCCTGATTCAGCGGAACCCAGAGCTTTAAAACAGCAGGGCTGCCAGATATGGATCTGTGTTGGGAGGGGGTAGGCAGGTAGGCAGGTAGGGTCCTGTAGTCTTGTTTGGTCCCATACGAGCAGACTGAGATAATATACAGTTAACAAAGAGGGACCCTGCAGGTGAGATGAAAGGAGACATTGAGTTGGTCTGACAGCAGGATTGTGTGTGTGTGTGTGTGTGTGTGTGTGTGTGTGTGTGTGAGAGAGAACTTTTGGAAGTCATGCGTAGACAGTATGCTATGCAGGCCGGTCGGATAGGACACATAACTGATTCCGAGGGATTTCGAATGTAGGCAGTCAATGTTATCATCAAAGTGCAGACTTGATGCTGGGTGCACCCCCCCACCCCCCCCCACCCACACCCCCTCATCTACCCCCCTGCCACCCTGTTACACTGGCATTCTTGTGCTGCGTTTTCCTCTACCGAATACCCCGCCCTTCTTTGCAGAGAGCGACTGTCTAGACTAGAGACCCTCACCAAAACACACACATAGCTGTTCGCTAACTTCGCTTGAGAAACTCAATACAGAAGAAGAGGGGAAAGGGGCCCTTCCCTCTGCTGCTGAGTGACCGAGCTGGTGTGGCTCTGTGAGAGGAAGAGACCCATCGGATATGAGCTGCATCTCTCCGCCATGCAGCCAGTGCAAAGGAATCACTCTGTGTATTTGAGGCAAAGAAATCCAAGCATGTGGGTGATAATAATGAAGTTGTGGCTAAACTCGTTAGGAAAAGTACTCCACACTAGCCCTGCGCCTCTTTGTGTCTTTTTGTCATCATCGTTGCTGGTCAGCGTGGGAGCCAAACCACCCAATAAATGCCCAAATGTAATTCAACTCTCACGCACAGGGTGTTGGAGTGCAGTGTGACATCAGGACGACAGTGCGAGAGAAAAGTAGGAAAGGAAGGACGCCAAACACAGGGACTTTTCACTTTTAACATTCCTGTCCTCTCTGGACGCTTCAGTGGCTCGGGGGGAAATAGAGCGAGGGGCACCATGTGGGACGAGGGTCTCCAGCTGGACTGCAGCCAAGAGCTTTGCATTCAAGGGCGTCGTGTGCGGAAGGAGACGGCGGACAGACAGACAGACGTAGAGGAACTTCTGCTGAAACTAATGCGAGGGGACACAATGTTCCTCTCCGGAGCTTCAGGCCTGAGCAGGACAGACGCTTGCTGTTATTCCTCCACCGCTGCTCCTCTCAAACATGCAATCCAAGGGAGACAGGGCAAGGTGGAGTAGTGAAGAAGGATGTAGATGATTAAACATAATAATCGGGGTGGTGATCAAAGAGGAAAGACACTTCGTGGAGCAATAGTGGAGCAGCAGAGGGACACCAGCTCCCTCTTTCACCTCTGCATTTGGCTCCCACGGGACCGTGGAAATGTTTGTCTGCGACACAGTTAAAAGTACCAAAGGTTTCTGAGGGTAAACGGAGCATTCTGCAGTAAAAGTTCCTTTTCCGGTTTTGAGAAAATGTAGTTCCCATTACGGCGGCGCCCAGAAGTTGATATTTCTATAGTTCTATTGTGTCTTGCTTGTAGAAAGGCTAGTATTTGCATTACAGTTCTATCATGAGTTTTATAGACTTATTTTAATCATATTGTAGCTTCACAGCCGTCTGTTATTGTTGTTCACATACAGGATTTGCAATAAGAAAAACAAGAAAACATAGTTGACTTCACGGCCGAAGTTACCTGCAGCTGTAAAGAGAATCTGTGTTGAAAGACAAAATTCAGCTCGTTTCCAAATACTTAGACAGGCTTTAGTCGGTCTGAGGGCTGTTCGGAGGACCAGAGCTTTGCATTCGGGCCTGCTCACATGATAATATGCACACACTGCCCGGGGTCAGGACCCACCCACCCGGACTCATGCTGCCAGTTGTTTGGTCAGTGAAATAGGCCTTCACAAGTCTTCCCTCTGCATGTGGTTGCAGGTTGCGTGCCGCTGTTAAAGAGTGAAAGAATGCAGGGCATTAGAGGAAGAGGTGGGGCCGGGCCGACGGGAGGTGGTCAACAATGTCGGGAACATTACCCACAGGGCATTTAGCAGGGTCGGCTAATCCACATTAGCACAGTAGCTCGACCACGAGGACTCTTCTCTCTCTCTTGTGGAATTCACAGGATGTAAAAGCCTTCAGTAGATGCTGTCAGCTGAATCGTCTTCAGAGAACGACGGCTGCAATCCGGGTGCAACAGAGTTGCTGTGGACATACAGGCCCTTTCAAAGAAGTTATCGGCTTATAAACATAAATATGCACGGCAAGCTTGAGCATGCACAAGGTGCTCCAGGTGTGCCTGTCTTTGTGTTTCTGTGTTTATATACTGAGCTATTTCACCGTATAGCTGCTTATTTTCACTCCTTCTGAATCAGAAGTGATCAAAAGTGGAAAGAATCACGCTTTAACTAACGTCATGGTTCTGGTGAATGTGCAAGCGTGCATGTTACTTTTCCCACGTGGCTGTGTGTGTTTTAAATGCTACAACACACGTTGCGGTTGTGCGTTCCTGCTCGGCGCGTTCCTCTGGCTCGGCCCCCGATTTCCACTCACTTTCCCGAATTACGCCTTAAAGCCGTCGGCGAGGCCAGAGACTCTGTATGTGGAGGATCTCTGCTATCAGCTTTTGGCAGTCGCCTCCAATCCGTGGGAAACTGAGAGGGTCTTTCAACATCTGCGCAGGTATTTTGACAGAATCACCAGATTTTCTTTTTCCAGATCAGCAGCTGGCAATAACAAAAGCTCCACTGGAGCAGAAGGACGTTCTTGCTCTAGCTACTTCTCTTTTTTTAGTTTCCCCGACGCTGTAAACACCATGTACGAACTTATAAAGCCGCCAATATCCGGAAACACGTTACAGAACATTTGACATCAAAGCCATCGGCACATTAACTGACACGACCAGTTAAACTTGAGTCTCAGATGTGGTCAAAGCACAGCTGCTGTGAGACTTCTACAATATGTCGCAGCCACATGGAAAATTGTTTGTGTCTCTTCAGTCAGCATTAAAAGTAAACATGCCCAAATTATTATTTCATTTTTTCAAAGTCAATTATTACATTGAAACACAGAACAAATAAAGTTTAAATTCTGGTCTATTTTACTGAGGACGTCCCTCCTCTCAGTTCAGGCTACTAATTGGTCTTTTTGTCTTAGTTGACTTAAATCTTCCTTCATTTTCAAAATTACCAACATACGTCGGGCTAATACAATACTTTTAACGGTGCTTTTGTGTCATTTTCTTTGCGGAGAAACTCAGTTTTACATAATGTAATCTAATAGATTAGTTTACTGAGAAGTCCTTTAGCCGAGGACAACTCTATAATCACTAAAATACTTCCCTTCTCCTTCAAACCCATTTGTTTCTGCTTACAAAGTACGTAAGTATGGTTTCCTAAAACAGCTCTCAGCAACAGTTACTGAAGCAGGAGGAAGCAGTGCATTAGTTGGGGACTACTTTCAGTAGTGGTTAATAGATATTTGGTCTTCTGGTCTTCTATTTGGCACAAAATGTGTGACCGACTCAGAATGCCCGCTGATGTCTCCTGCTCGGTGAAGCTCATCACGCGGTTGGCGACGTCACTTTGAAACGGGCCTTCAGTGTTACCTGAGATGCACTGAGTCGTCATTTGTGCAAAAGCTGCAGGCCATCGGTCTAAATAAATACACCCAATAATGGTGTTAATGGTAGGAATAACTAAAGTGGTCCATTTGCCAAACTCCGTGACTTCAGAGTGTAATCTTTGCCAGCCTTTCGCCGAGCCTCAACCAGCCAACTCCGTAGAGCCGAGGGACGTCGTGGCTGCCAACAGCCCGCGCCGATCCCCTCGGCCCTGTGGCAAGAAGGTATTCATGGGAACATTTTTTTCCTGTGCACCCGGCTCATGATTTAAAGTCTCAGAAAACTCTAATCCCTGAGCCTTTTTTAAAAATTTCATTCTCTTTCTCGCCCCTTGGAGTCAAAATATATTTTACCTGCTAAAGACTGGGAATTCTTGCTCAGATGCCCGATGTGGCTCACTTCCACCTCTGTGTTGTCAAGGGCTTGGCAGCACAGCGATAATAGAATGTGCAAAACCGGGACACAGACTGGCATCTTGGTATGATAAGCCTCACCTGGGGAGGGAGAGGCCCGGATGAGGATGAAACTCACTGTTCATCAGCGAGGGAAAGAAGAGAATGAGAAAGACCGGGGGCCCATGTTTTCAAAGAGGAAAGATAATTTTAGCATCACCCATCTGTCATTGTAAAGCATCATCCATCTGTCATCAATTTCACTGCTTACCACTGTGCTCAAACCCCCCTCACTCATTTCCTCCCCCTTTCCCAACAACTTTCAGTTCCTCCAAACCCTCTTCCATCTGTTTTTCCTTCGAGTCTTCTCTTCTTGTCCTCTTACACAACCAGTGTTAAAGCATAAATGGTTTGCTTGTGTGTTTTTGTATTAAACCCAAACCCAATACCCATTATCGACATGGGCTTGAGGTGTATCGGAACCGATATTTAGGATTGAGTGGATGGAAGTCAGAGTTTCTAACCAGAGAGTTTGCAAAAATGGTGCCGATCTGCAGGGAAATTATTAAAACAAATATCCGTGCCATCCCATATGACCGCATTGCGTCAGTGTATGGTGCTATACCATGAGAGCCATGCGTCTGGTACTGCAGGCTCCTCTCGTCCCGTCTCCTGAGACCAGGGAACACTGGCTGCCCTTGACATTCAACCGCGATAAATGTGTTTTCCACGTCTTGAATATTACACTTCAGTGCGAGCCCACCGGTCCCGGCTACTTTTGTTGACCCTGAGAGTCATGAGGAATTTCTCTTTCACCTCCATCTCCTCCCCCCCGCCAACCAAGGGCCAACCAACCCCTCCTCTTTCTTCAGTGCCCTGCAAGGTCATCGAGAAGCCTGCAGCCACGTCAGCCTGAGACACACACACACACACACACACACACAGGGGCATGGTTATTATGTTTGAAAGGCATCTACGATCTGGTCTGAAAGAGGCTTTCTTGCTTCTTAATTACACGCGGCACCCGGTCATTATTGGCAGCGGTATTAGATTGTTTATTTAATCAGCAGTCAGCTGACACGGACCCGCTGGATCAGTTGAAACCGGTGTTTAGCTGAAAGGGCCGGTCTCTGAGAGGAGCCTCTGTGTCTGAGGCCAGATGTCAGCCTTCTCCTCCGGGGACACTTTCCCTGATACCCGACACACTCCTGCACTAGATAAACCTAAAATACGTGTGAGAGAGAGACAAAGGGGGTTGTTGTTCACGTTACTGCAGGTGATGGAGACGTGACCAACACGTCTGTTCCTTCTGGTGGAGGAGGGCTGCAGTGAACAAACTGGCTTTAGCATCGGAAGCTTAGTGAGGGATTGTTTGAACTAGAGACGTGACTTGTCTGCTGCTCCACTGATTAAGGACATGTGTAATATTTGGAGGGTCGGGTGTGCTGAGATTCCCTAACCAGGGCAGAATGAATGCTGTTGAAGAAACGAGAGCGCGAGAGAGAGAGAGAGGGGGAGGGAGAGGGAGAGGGGGACTGGCGGGTCTTGTAGGTGAGATTTTGGGGGGGAAATGTGGTGTCCAGATGTTGATCGTAAAGACAGAAAAGGGGAGAGGGCGCCAAACCTCAAACGCCGCAGGCAGCGGATTAATGGGGCTGCAATTAACTGTGAACTTCAAAACAGGCAGCGGGAAGAAAGAGAGCGAGATGCTGAGGTATGGCGGGCTGAGGAGGGGGCCATCATTGTTGTATCGTTATGCTGAGGGCATGTGGAAGGAACCAACACATTACACATCGTCCTCAATAGACAGATTTGTGTATTTACATGTTGGCACGATAATCTAATACTTCCCTTTTATTGGCAAAATGAGCTTCTTTATGGAAATAATCGTTGAATTGAGATACAGTTTTAATTTGTCGACCTTCAGTTCCAGGACACAGGAACAGCTCATGAATGTGCTTCTCACGTTTTCATATTCATTCAGATTCATCATTAGCATTTCAATGTCTGATGATTCATTTTAAATAGGGTTATGATGAATTCTGTGTTGTTCTTTCTCCCCTGTCATTGGAGGATGGTGGAGCGCATTTATTTACCCCAGCTATGTGCAGTTTGGCGGTTCAAAATACATGTATACATGTTCCAATGTGTGTGCACACGTACTCATTACCTGCTTCAGTGCGTTTCTAGCTCAGGCTCGTACAACAAGCGCAGAGAAGGACTGCACACATGCATGTGCTTGTAGACTCAAACATGTATATTTAAAATGGTGAAACGGCCACTTGAGCAGATAAATGACCATTTGCACTGCTGCAAAACCGACATTCCCAGGATGTACGAATGAACATCGTTATGTTTTTGTCACACGTCGGCAAGTGCAGACACGCATAAACACACACTCGCACATACACACATGCTAAGATTATTTACCGCCGCGTCTCCTGCAGGCTCACCGCCCCTCCACAGCTGCTGGTTATGTGTGAGGATGTCGGACTAAAGATTTTTTAAATTCCCGAACCCGAGAGGGCACTGCTCCTCCTCTGACTAACCCATGCGTACGATGCAGGACCGTGCATGTCCTTGTGTGATTCCCTTTCCATGTGTGCTCGATGTTTTCGTTCTGGTAAAAACATCTGTTTCTGAATAGCTAATTGTGGGTAAATATTAAGTGTGGACACTGAAAGTACGAGTCGGTGTGTTTCTATCTCTGTCCAGCCAGTCTAAACTCGGGTGTGATTTTGGATGCAGGACAGCGAGGAATATTACAGAAAGCAGTGGAAAACTCCACCTCATTAAGCGTGTGTGTGTGTGTGTGTGTGTGTGTGTGTGTGTGTGTGAGTGTGTGTGCGCCAAAACCACACGAAGGACAAACAAGCAGCAGCGGCAACATTTTCACTGACATCATTTGCTTCCGTACTGGTCTCCTGTGCATTAATATTCACATTCAGATGAAATAAAATGTCAGCTTCTATTTAATGCAACGCTTGCTTGGCATATCCGCCTTTTTATTTACGTCTGTCGGAACCGTGACTCCTCACACTCCGGCTGGGCAGCCAATTAGGAAGGGAGGCCGCCTGTTGTGACATCAGAGAGAGTAATTAAGGATGAACGCGGAAGCTCCGACGTCTTGAACGCCGTCTTTGACGCGGCTTCTCGCCTGGTGGGTTTCCGGAGGGGGTTCTCCCGCTGGCGTGACGCCCCGCGTTGTCTCCCCTCTGCGTTTCAGGGCAGCGACGGACCACAACGTGGACAACACCACCGCTATGCTGAGGGAGTGGCTGAAGAGAGCCCAGAGCGTGTACCACTACGTGGAGTGGAGACCCATGGAGGAGCCCAAGTGAGTCACGGTTTCCTCAGGAATCACTCCGTGGGATCTACCCTTCGTCTTTTAGTGAACCGCCCTCTATCTTTTGTGTCAGGTCCTACACGGATGAGTGGGGGCCGAAGCACTGGCCCCCTTCCAGGTTCAACCATGTGTTGAAGCTGAGACAGGCGGCGCTGAAGGCTGCCCGCGAGCGATGGGCCGACTACATACTGGTAGGACTTTTCAGACCATTTCGTTTCATATTGGGCTTCTTCATACGCCGTGACTGCCACACTGAAGGCCCTCTCCCCTCTTTAGTTCGTGGACAGTGACAACCTGTTGACCAACCCCCGCGTGCTGAACCTGCTCATGGCCGAAAACCTGACCTTGGCCGCTCCGATGTTGGAGTCTCGCTCGCTGTACTCCAACTACTGGTGCGGCGTCACCCCACAGGTACGCTTCGCGCTTTAACTCACGCGCCCGGCCGACCGGATTCGTCCACCCCCCGCCCTCCCCCCTCGGCGCTCATCGTCTGCCTCCTCTCCGTCAGGGCTACTACAAGCGGACCCCGGACTACCAGCCCATCCGGGAGTGGAAGCGCCTGGGCTGTTACGCCGTCCCCATGGTGCACAGCACCTTCCTGATAGACCTGCGGCGCGCCGCCAGCAGGGACCTGGCCTTCTACCCTCCTCACCCGGACTACAGCTGGGCATTCGACGACATCATGGTGTTTGCCTTCTCGGCTCGTCAAGCGGGTGCGTTTAGAGAACTCCGGAAAATCGCAGCCGACCACCACATTTGTAGCGGGGACGCGACGCGGCCGCCGTCCTTTGAGGACTGTTTGCTGATGAAATACTGAGGTCACAGTCTATCGCAAACTGGGTTTTGTCCTGCAGGTGGACTGAGGGCTTGAGGGTGTGCCATTCCCCAGCTAACCGAGAAGCAAATACATTAAAGCCTTCACACAAACAAATACAAACAACGCATAGCAGTGCATTTAAATACAGAGCAAATTAGTATTAGAATTTCTCGATTCCTGCTCGGCTGATGACCGATCATCATGGCGGCTAATGTCAAACTGTGACTACATAAGTATATTATATAAATACATTTCAGTAAAACTGAGGTCTGGTTTGCGGGGTCCAGGTGTCCAGATGTACGTGTGCAACAGGGAACATTACGGCCTCCTGCCTGTTCCTCTCAAAGCACAGCAGAGTGTGGAAGAAGAAAGCGAGAGTTTCATACACACCATCACGGAGGCTTTAAGTGAGTACACACACACACACACACACACACACACACACACACACACAGCTTCTAGGAGTAGTGTCTGTACTCTCCATCACGCCCTGTTTACCTCCCCTCTCGGGTTTGTTTCTTCTCCTTCTTGACCTCTGTAACCCGCCGTGATAACATCCTGTCACCCCTCAACCCGTCTCTCTCTCCTCCTCCTCCTCTCTGTTTATTCTCCTCTCTTGGCCTTTCACACGGCTCCGATTTCAAATAAAGCATATTAAATGGGCCGCCAGGATCCGGCGGCAGCAGTTAACCTTTCTCCTCCCTCCTCGCCGCCGTCGACAGTTGACCACGACATCGAGCCCTCCGAGCACCTGTACTCCCCGCCATCGCCGCAGAGCACCATGGGCTTCGACGCGGTGAGTCATGAGCTCGGCCAGGAGGACTCTTCAGCTTCCGTCTCTGCGCGCGTGTGTGTGTGTGTGTGTGTGCTGCAAATGAGCAACTCCCACTTCCTGTTTTTGCAGCATCTCGTCGTGTCATCAAGTCCTTGTTCTCTCTTTGCCTTCTTCTCTCGCCGCGTTCCCCCTCTGACCCCGAAGTTAGGTTGTCCCGGTCCAAAGAGAAACTGTGCCATTTAGGAACGCACTCCCAAAACGGAGGTTTCAAAGCTAACTGGAATGTTTTCTCTTCAATGACTCCGGCACGATGTCTAGATTTTCCTGATTAACCTGAAGCGGCGCCTGGACAGAAGAACCAGGATGCTGAAGACGATGTCTTCACTGGGTCTCCACCCCACGCTGACGGAGGCGGTGGACGGAAAGTAAGTCACACCGGCCTGCATGTGCACGATGAATCAAACACGCAGCCTTTAATAACTTGTATAAATAGCTGTGCTCCCCGGGGGTCCGATAAGATGACGGCTCCGCTCCGACTTCCACACGACCTGCCTGAACAGAGCTTCGCTGTTTGTGGCAAAAGCAGCTACTTGCTTTCTCGCCTGGGCGATTATTTTAATCCAACGTTTGAGAATGTCCTAATCCTTCTTCCAGCCGCCGCTCGTCCGACTAAATACTAACGTAGTTCTTTTCCCACTACTGCTCCTGCATTTCCTTTCTCCATCCCCCTCAGAGCCCTCAATTCATCCCAGCTCCAGGCTTTAGGGATAGAGATGTTGCCGGGCTACAAGGACCCTTACTCGGGCCGAGTGCTGACCAGAGGGGAGATCGGCTGCTTCCTCAGCCATTACTCCATATGGAAGCAGGTGAGAAACCAGGCCTTTGAGTTTGCAATGCGTATTAAAGATAAGATAAATATCAAAAAGGGACAATCTGGACAGCAGGCCAAACGTCAGCGGCCATTCTTTCATTCGATTGTGTTTTCTGATCTTCAGGTGTTGGAGCGCGGCCTCGAGAGGGTTCTCCTTTTAGAGGACGACGTGCGGTTTGAACCCAGGTTCAAACGCCGCCTGCAGGCCATTATTGATGACATAGACAAAACCCAGCTGGACTGGGACCTGATGTGAGGAAACACACACCCCTTTTCTCCCCACCGCGGTCACACTTTCAGGCTTTCTCTAATATCTACGGACCGCCTGTGGGAAATATCATTACATATCACACAAACATCTACTTGGCCTCCACTGTGATCACACAAAAACACTATTTTGCGCAGTGGCTCAAGAAGTTTTATGCTAATAGCAAGTTCGGTGCAGCGAGTGGTCGTAAAGCAGGAGCATTTGTGCAGGATCTGATAACAGGCTTGATCAGCTGGTGCATTCTAGTCTGAATCCCGTCCGTTCTGTCTCCAGCTACGTGGGGCGGAAGCGCATGCAGGTGCAGCAGCCGGAGCAGTCCGTGGACGGCGTCAACAACCTGGTGAAGGCCGACTACTCCTACTGGACGCTCGGCTACGCGCTGTCGCAGCAGGGAGCCAGGAAGCTGCTGGCTGCCAAACCCTTATCGAGGATGCTGCCCGTCGACGAGTTCCTCCCCATCATGTTCAACAAACACCCAAAGTCAGTCCGCGCTGCCTTCTTTCGGTGTTTTTAAATGGCAGCAGCAGGAATAACGTGGACAAGTAACATGTACTTTTTTAGCGTTCTGGTTTGTATTTGCTGAGGGCCACATAGATGACGGTAGGTGCTCCCTACGTCAGGTAATCCACATGAAGATGCAAACGCATCAGGCAGTAAACCAGCGCGGGACCCGCGGTGCCGTAGTTATCAATACACAGACACGAATGTTTTACACAGTGGTGTAGTGTTTGTACTCGTGTGGTAAACCACAACCCTCCATCAAGGCCCACTCCCAAGTTCTGATCCTGTGTCTTTTCAGCACCACTTCTTCTTCTTCTCCTTCTCCTTCTTCTTCTTCTTCTCCTTCTTCACACACAGGGCAGGGATTGTTCCTGTGGTTCAGTGGGTACGGGGCTCTGCGGAGCAAACACACAATGCCTGCTTTCATCTTTCTTTCCATGCTCGGTGACTCCTGCTGTGTCTCTGCTGCACCTCCGTCCTCGTCTCCGCTTCACCTTCTCGTCCCTCAAACCGGCCGTCCGTCTCAACTCTCCTCGTTCTTCATTTGTTTTCCTTCTTTTTAAATGTTTCTTTTAACGTTCCCTCTCTCCCCTCAACAAACCTTTGCTTTCTTTGCACACCTTCTCCCTCCCTGTGTCACCCGCCTTTCCTCCCCCTTCCGTCTCTCTCTTTAAAGGAATGTAGGCCGGCGCGGCTCTTCCTGTTGGTTACAGAAGGGGACAGGATTCCTATTGATGCAGGCCTGAGTGTGGGGGTGGGTAGAGATGGACACCGGGTGTGTGTGTGTGTGTGTGTGTTGCTATATAAATACATGGAGATGTGTGTCCAGTGTGCAGTGTATAGATGACTAGACAAACAGGGAGAGAAGGGGAGTTTGCTCAAAAGGGGAAGAAATGGGAAACATGGACGTAAATGTAGAAAGGTAGCTGGGAAAATAAAATGCGAAGAGGAATACGAGACGGTAAACCCGGCGTACAAGACCTGACTGCGTGGACGGTGTGTGCGCGCAGCGTAATGGAGGTGTCCTCGCGGGGGGGAGTTGACCTGCACGGTGACCTCCGTCTACGGTGCGACCCGCCGGGCTGACACGCCCCTCTGCAGGCCGACAGAGGAGCTTTGTGCTTTTACTTTGACACTGTGTTGACGCGAAGAGGATACCGATTAAATGTTTCATTATTATTATTATTATTATTATTAGCTCCCCATTGAAACAATGTTGTTATAAATACGTTATCTCCGGCGGCAGTGAAGACTGAACTCTTCCTCCGCTGTGAACACGGAGCATGTGATTGTGCAGCCGGAGATGGAACGCATTCTTGTCATAACTGAATTGCGCTGCAGAAAGGAGGGGATCCTGTTCCCCTTTATGATATCCTGTAAATCTGCCGTCCGCACGGAAATTCAAATCCGGGACATTGAGTGTGGACACCAGTTAACATACAAGTTGGTGTAGCTAAATCCAAAACAGCCATAATCATTCTTCCTCTCTAGTCACTTTGGTATAAAGCTGATGTCACATTTCTAAATGTTTTTAACGCAATTTCTTCCCAATCGCAGTCAGTGTAGAAAAAGCTGATGGACGTATTAATGAACTGAAGCTGCGCTTTATTTTTTCATTAGCTATCTGATTTCCGATGTGCGTCGATTTAACCCGTAACCCTGGGGAAAACTCTTCGCCTTTACATCACTAATCCCCCCCCACCCTCCCTCCTCTCTCCTCCTCAGCACCCAGTTCATGTCTCACTTTCAGCCGCGGGACCTGAAGGCCTTCTCCGTGGAGCCGCTGCTCATCTACCCCACCCACTACACCGGAGAGCCGGGCTACTTCAGCGACACGGAGACCTCCACCATCTGGGACGACGAAGCCGTGGCGACGGACTGGGACCGCCAGCAGGCCCGAAAGACGGCGCAGCAGGGCAGCATCCACGCCGTGGCACAGAACAGCGTCGGCGGGGACTCGCCGCCCCCGGCGGCTCGAGCCTCGCGGGACGAACTCTGATGACACTCGGAGGAAGACAGCGAGGGGGAGAGAGAGAGAGAGACTCGTACTTGGGGAAAAGACACTTGAACCACAAGAGGACATTCTGTACATTAATTGACATATATATATACACACACATGGATAAAGCCAGAGTGAAGATGTTAGTCCACTCTGCTGCCTGATGAAGGGACACTGAGGAGAGGAAGAAGACGAGGAACTGGGAAGAGAGCCAGCCGGCCTTTGACAAAAGCTTTATTTATTCCCCATGTCCGTCCTCTGGGCATGTGGAGACGGTCACAGCCCGCAAAGAAACTTCAGCAACACACAAGACTGCTGACAATTTGAAAGACTTGAAAGCAAACAATAATAATTTCCACAAATGAATGGTAACGTTGTTCAGGATAATTATTGTTATTTAAAAAAAACGAAAATTTGTTTGTGTTTTTATGGGCAGCAAACAAATAAAGAAAGCTTAAGTCTTAAAACTCCTCAGTGCGTGCATTGACGTGTGTTTACAGAACTGAGGCTGCGTGGAAGGACACACACACACACACACACACACCGTACCCAAGGGTGCCACTGCCCCGTAGATGTCACACACACACACACTCACACACACATGCGGGGGAGTGCAGCCCCGTGTTAACAAGCAGCAGGACAATAAAGGATGTCTTTAGGGTCAGTGTTTGTCTCATCTCTCTCTAGTCACCCGTAGGTGTGTCCTCTTCGGACCCCGGCGTTCAGCATACACACGCGTGGGGACTCTTTGCGGTACCTGAATCATTCACGTACCATCTCCCAGAATGGAACACTTCTCCTTCCTTCAACTGAAAAATAAGCCTTGTGGCATTACACGAAACAGTCGTAAAACATGAAAGCGGCTGCAAGCTCCCAATAACTTGCAGGTTAAAACGCTGAGGCCGCTCGGCGGGCGTGTTCGCTCCCACTGTTCCTCTTTCATAGTTCCTGTCTGCTGTGGGATCTGACAGAGAGGGAGGTGGAGGGTGTGGAGCTGATGTACAGGTGGTGGTGGTTATAGATGATGGGCGGAGGCAGGGGATGAGAGGATTACTAGGCACAAAGGAGATCTATTTCAAAATGAATAGCTGGGAGTTACTATCAGAGTGAACCACGAACAGACGTCACCCGACTGTGGAGCCAGGAACGTAGTTCTTTAAAAGATTCCTCGTCTACACCTTTGACCTTTTAAACGGCAGAGCCAGAAGAGAAGAGTTTATGCTGCCGTCTGCAGGACACAAGTGGAACGACATGCAGCTTTTAGTTTGCTCGCATGTTAGTAATACCAAAAGGATATGAAACCTTTTTTTTTTTTAGGAGAAGGCCAGTGCACTTAAAAAAAACAGGATTTCCTGAATACACATTGACACTTATATAACTCTTCCTCAGCTCGTTGTTGTGGAACTGCACATCCTGTCTGCATTCATTATGGCAGAGGAATGTCATTGCACTTCTGCCTTCAGGAAGGTCGATTCACAGGCCTGCATGCAGATAAGCCTGGAAGACGGAGACGCCTTTAATGAATCTGACACATTCTGACGCGCCTGCTGTCAGTCAAACCACAAGCATCGGCTCCATCCGATCACATTAGTGCTCAGGTTGACGCAGGTCTATACCTCGGTACACGTCAGCCAACACACGTCACCCTTTCAAATGACCTGACACCAAAGGTACATCCGTGGAGAAAAAAAGGTTCACAAATAATTGGTGACGGCAACTGGGAATCACCATCATCAGATGTTTGTGACCCTAAATGACACGTGGTCAAGTTGAGCCCGTTTTACTTGATGGTGAAAAAGCGCACTCTGCTGGCGAGACGTTAAACAGTCAGACGCGTTATTTCCTGGAGAACTTAAGATACGGACGATATGTTTCCTGCTTGTTAAGATCCAGCAGTGTCACAACCCACGTGTAGTGACACCTGAGCTCAATCGCAAGCGCAAGATACAAACAGCACATGGTTCTACAGGATCTCTGAAAGTAGTAAAAGAAAGACTGACAACCAAATAAGAGGTTATGAATGCACAGACTTCCACGTTACAGTCAGTGATGAAGAAGCCTGCGTTGTCGAGCCCTCCACCTGTGGGTGGAGACAGAGCCCCACCGGCCTGCAATCAGTCACGTGAGTGATGATCAACTGAAGAGTTCTCCTGTTTGGTTTGAGCGTCTTAAATATAGAGACCCAATAAAAGTCAAGAAAAGGGCAACATTTATTCAAACATATATGCATGTATACATATGTATGTGTGTGTGTGTGTGTGTGTGTGTGTGCATGTGAGAACTCTCCCATCGTGTATAATCATTTAGTCAGTGTGATGCAAATAGAGCGAGACAATTTGGACCACATCGGGTTTTAAAAAAAATTGGATTCCAGTCGCATTTGCATATCTTTACTGATGATCCTATTAGTGCGGTATGCAAATGCTAAATCGAGGATGTCAAACTCTGAGTCATCAAAGGGAACAGCCGGTGATTCGTCTGCGTTGCCGACGACTTGATGATGTTTTATGCAACGAGGAGACGAGGTTGCGTAAGCGGGGGATGTGAGTCAGTGGCGCCGAGGCCTCTGACTAACGGAGCTGCTGTCAGGCCGTGTTCTTTTTGACAGAGAGGGGTCTCACACACACACACACACACACACACACATTTACCCACGTACATGCACATGCACGCGGGTAAATGTGTTTGGGAAGATTAAGGAACCGCGAAGAACAAACATTGTTCTTGAAACATTCACAGTGCATCGCGCTTCTCCCGTTTTTATTATCAATCCACACGCATCTCTCCTCACACTGATAATGAGTAACTGCTCAGTGACAACAAGAGCTGCTCAGGCTCTGCTCACTGAGTGAATGTGTGTGTGTGTGTGTGTGTGTGTCTGCAGCCAAGGGATCCTAAACAAACAACACAATAATCAGATGTGATTAAAATCATTTTAGAGCATTAAAAAAATAAATAGTCCATAGTGTGTGTTTCTGTCTCTATGGTAACCAGCAGAGAGCAGTGTGGAGTTGTGAAAGCTGAGAAGCTCAAGCTGTTGTTGTGCGTAATCTAATAAAAGAAACACCTCAGTTTGTGAGAAATGTTGTTTGTGTAATTGGGAACATTGTGCCATTGTTTACCTTCTGTTGTCGGATTTCAGCTGTGTACATTTAGTCTGGTACTATTCTATCTTAATTAAGTGTTAGTGTCCATTTTATAATCCCATACACTTCTACTTATACCAGATATTGGGCTTTTTTCACCACTGCAGTCATCCGTTTAGTCCGTATAGAAGCAGTTACAATCATTTTGTTCTATTACATCTCCAACGACTGAGGCGTATTTTATTTTGAAAGGTTCAGGATACGTCCTCCACAGCTGTGTTTTCTTTTCAATCTCATGTACCAACAAAGGATCCTGCTCAGTTATACACCATTTACTATTGTGTCATCCGAGATGTTTTTAGAGGTTCTGTTTGTGTTGACCCACACTAAGGGGATCTCGAGTGTGTATAAAAGTATGTGTTTGTGTGTGTGTGTGTGTGTGTGTGTGTGTGTGTGTGTGTTGTCAGAGTTTAGACAGCTTTGTCTTCCCAGCTGTGTAAACTGGTACCGGCCACACAAACATACACAGGCAGAGAAGAAAAGCAAGAAAAGTGTTTCCCTTCAACTTTAATTTGACCAAACAACAAAAAAAACATGTTAAAGTGGTAAAATAAATATATATTGTAGTTGCGGTGAATGAAAAATTAATTTTCTTTGTCCAATCACTCACATCTATCGCTGCGAAAACCTCTTTGGCAACACGTCAGGCATCAGAGGAAGAACCTAAAGGGGGCAAAGTGCAGCGGCGTGACGTGATCGGGGGTCTTTTTAGAAAAGGAGCTTTCAACAACAGGGAGAACAGGGACAGGGAGAGGAAACGGAGGAAGTTGGGGCGGGGGGCTCTGAGCGGAGGCCAGTTCACTGGGAGTCCATCTAGACAGCCAAAAGACTCTTCCTGCATGCCATGCTCCCCTTCACTCCCGGCACACAGTCACCCAGAGCCGCAGCCCAAAGGCCTCCTCAGCCCAAAGGCCTCCTCAGCCCGAAGGCCTCCTCAGCCCAAAGGCCTCCTCAGCCCAAAGACCTCCTCAGCCCAAAGATTTCCTCAGCCCGAAGGCCTCCTCAGCCCGAAGGCCTCCTCAGCCCAAAGATTTCCTTAGCCCGAAGGCCTCCTCAGCCCGAAGACCTCCTCAGCCCGAAGGCCTCCTCAGCCCAAAGGCCTCCTCAGCCCAAAGACCTCCTCAGCCCAAAGGCCTCCTGAGCCCAAAGACTTCCTCAGCCCAAAGACTTCCTCAGCCCAAAGGCCTCCTGAGCCCAAAGACTTCCTCAGCCCAAAGACTTCCTCAGCCCAAAGGCCTCCTGAGCCCAAAGACTTCCTCAGCCCGAAGGCCTCCTCAGCCCGAAGACCTCCTCTTGACCCAGAGAGTAGAAAGACTCAAAAGTCTTGCCTTTTAAAAGGTGTATAAATACGTTTTATTTTCATTCTAAATATAAAGTGGCTCATCGGATTCACAACGCTGACGCAACAGAGTGCAAACAGGGTTTTTCTGTTGGTTGAGGTTGAGTTCGTTTTAGATCACGAGATTATCAGTTCAGTGGGAAGAAAAGAAAAAAAATGCAATTACTGCTACAAATCAGTATTCATTTGCCTCATCTTGCATTATATTGTGAAATGTTGTTTTTGATCCATTGAAGCCCTGGATTAGTTGTTCAAATGAAACCATTCTGAGAAGTTTAGAGGGGCAGTTTTTATCTGCAGCTTAATTGTAAAGCGGCCCCCAACTAGACACTGCTGTTTCTTGAACGGGGGCCACATGTGGGGGAGTTTACTGGATTTAATCTTGAAGAACTTTGTAGTATTTTTAGAATCTTATATATATATAATTAAATACCAAAAATGGAAAAACTCACTTTTTATACAATACATCAAAATCCTGCTTAAGCGTGTTACAGTTTGTGTACGCGTGTGTGTGTGTTTGTGTGAGTGTTGTGTGTGTTTATCGGTTAACGGTCCCGCTGCTATAATGTAACTTCGCCGGATGTTTCTCTGGTGTTTTTCCAATGGCTGTTTATTTACCTGAGACAGGATGCAACATTTGACTTTACACTGAAACTTCTGTCAGTAGAGAGCAATTTTATTCAAACGTATTCATACTTATTCATAGTTCAATATTAACTCCTGAATCACTGAAATACTGTGTGTGTGTGTGTGTGTGTGTGTGTGTGTGCGTGTGTGTGAGAGATTGAGTCCGGATAGAAATAAGAACCAGTCGTGTGTAAAACCCCTCAGTGGCTGAGGAGAGGATTATATGGGCCAAGCAGTGCTCACACACACACACACACACACACACACACACACACACACACACACACATGCTCTCCATAATTGTTACACATTTATTACGGTTGCCCTTTGCTCCGTTGTCGTCAGAAAAGTCCCCGAGCCAAATCAGTAACCTTACGGTGCCGTCCGAACACTTAAACAACCTGGACTTCAGTTTAATGCAGAAAGGAAACAACATGTTTACACGTTCGACTTCTTTGTGACATCTTTAAGAAGAAGGAAGTGATTCAAAGTGTCCGTAGGGGACAAAACCCAGCAAAGTAAATGCCTCAACAACTGCAAGAATAAGGGTTGAAATGTGTTTGGAGATTCACTGAATGCAGCCTGAGACCTAAACGAGGGCCAAAGTCATTCCATCATGGAAAATATCCGCTGTTGTCATTCGTTCTTAGAGCCTCTTCCACAACATCCTCCTTTCCTCTCGCAGATTTCCTGCCTTTCTTTCCTTCTCTTTACATTCTTCCACAATCCAGCTCTCTTTAGTCAGTTGGTAGTTTTTTAAAGAGAGGGGGGCTGAGAAGAGGGTGGTGGGGGGGGGGGGGGGGCTGGGCCACTAAGTCATAACTCCTCCCCCCTCTGGCAGGGATGAATGTAGGAGTCGAGAGAAGGAGGGAGACGCAGAGAAAGAGAGAGAGAGACAATAGACTTTAATCACTCATGTGGTGGAGAGCCGCCGGCGAGCCGAGTTCCTTGTGTCGTGGGAGGACGGAGAGAGAAACGGGAAGACGGAGTCGGAGAACTCGAGAGGAAAGTTATCACTGGTGACTCCCCCACTCCTCCTCCTCCTCCTCCCCCCCCCACACACAGCTGAAGACACGTCCAGTCTACGGCCAGACTGAGAGGAGAGCAGGTGAACAAGCGAGACCCAAAGGAGCCCAGGCTGCCCCCCCCCCCTCTTCCAGACGCAGACCTCTCCCGGTTCTAACCGAAGACGCTGCCCTCCAGACTGCAGTATGTCCTTCCGCCTCTGCCCCCCACCGGCATGATCTCCCACCACCCTCTGACCACGCTGCTGCTCTGGCCCGCGGCTCCCAGCCACCACCACGCAGACCTGGACTGCAGCCTGTTGCCGGAGGGGGAGGGAGGTGTCGCCCTGCAGAGGTACCAGGCTCGCTCGCCGGAGAGCAGCCCCCGCCACTGGGTGAGTAACCGGCACAACGTAATTGAGTCCGTCCTGTTTGAAATCTGCTTTTTATTTATTTTTGTTTTTAGGATAACTGGGAGGGTGCGTGGTACCCGCAGTCTGGTGTGAAAACAGTCTGCCAGATGTTCGGCCTCCGCTCGCGTGACCTTCGTGTTGTTTGGAGGGTTTTTTTTTTCGTTTAGTGTCAGAGGCTCTGGACCGTTTCCAGCGAGTCGAGGACGGGAATAAGCGGTGCAAAGCGAAACGCAGCAAACGATTCAATGAGTGAAGAAGCTCGGGGGGGCAGACGGCGGACAGAGATGTCAGCGGAGAGGTCGCCGGCGTTTGCGACTCCTCCGAGGTTCGTCTGTCGGAGGCCCGGGGCTGTTGGGGGGGGGGGGCGGGGGGTGAGGGGGGGTCGGGGTCGGAAAGGAGTGCTGGAGAAAGTTTTTGTGCGTGCAAATCTGTCACATGGCGTGCTGAGACCTGCAACCAGTGGGCTGCACTTCCTACAAACAAAACACAAGAGTACAGTAAGTGAGGGTCAACCCGAAACCAAATCAAAAACACGCACGACCGGTTGCCCAACTTTCAGTTCCTCTGTGTGACCTTGATTCACTTAAATTTCATGCAAAACATTGAAAACTTGCAGGGAAAAAACGCAAACTGGACGGTAACCTTTGGGTGCACAGACGAGAGGACAGCTGACCTCGTGTGGTAATTCACTCACTGTGTGTGTGCGTGTTTGTGTGTGCGTGCACAGTTCTGCAGACAGCTCACAGACTTCACGGAAGGCTGGTTACTCACTTTTACTTCAGAACTCAAACCTCTTGATGACTTTAACACGCGTCAGGCGAAAGCCGGGAACGGCCAAAATGTGGCTTGCGTTTTCACTTCACGTCAGCGGAAACACGCGTTTGTGTTTGTTTCCCCCCTTTCGAGTTTCTTCCCGAGGACGCAGATTCCTCATAACGGAGCGATGGCAAGAAAAAGTGACCTGCAGCGGCAGCTTATTCCAGCTTAGCTTCTTGCACATGCTTACGTGTGGCACTGAGGATTAAGTGGAAATTTGTTTGGTGTTTACGTGCGGCGTTTTGAGTCTGCTGAAGTGTCCTTGAGCGAGACTCTTAACCCCACCTGCTCACGGGTGGATAAATGAAGCCCCTCTGCAGACGGAGAGGAAGAAAGGCCAGCTCTCCCAATTAGGAGCAAGTCGTAGATGTTAAGCCCCCTTTTGTTGTGGTCTCATTTGTGTCTCCCTATAGTTGATTTGTGCGACTTTGTAATTATTTTGGTCTTTTTCCAGCTTTTATTGTCTCTGGTGGTTTTGCCCTTTTTCGTGGTCGCGTCGCCCCTTTTTGTAGTTATGTGATGTGTATTTGCGGATCGTTGTTTTTTTTCTCGGCCGATTTACCCCTTTTTGAAGTCTCCTTTGTGGACTCCATCCACGCTGCCGTCCAGATCTTGGTCTCCTTGCAGTTGTTTTGTTTTTGTTTTGTCTCTTTGTGCCTTGTATTGAGGGATTTCAAGCCCTGGACACTTTAGGTGAAGTTCCGGTGGACCGCTGACACTTTGATCCATGCACTGTTATTCATTGACAGCAACCAGAATCCCAGTTAGCATTAACATGAGAACAGCTCATTTACTCCTAATTGTCTATTCCACCGTGCTGCATGCATTTATGTTTTGATTCCAAGTGTTGGGAGATCCTCCTCCTCTCCGGCTATCCGACCTCCTGGCTCATGTGTTGATGAGTTCTTGCGTTTCCTCCAGTGGTTTTTGGGGGGGTAAGGAGACTGGAGGTTAGCTTTCACATCTCTGGATGTTGTAGCCAGAGTGAGGCTCAGCTTACCATCCCGCTCTGGGTGTCAGAAACTCATCCTTGAGTTATGTTATCATTGGTGAAAAAAAGCGGAGGGGTAAAATACATCCAATAAAACCATTTGGTGGTAATCGTAGAACTTTAAACCTCTTTAAAAGAATAAAAGCACGGCCGCTCCCCGTGTCGTCGTGCAGGTCTAAGGCTCTCTCTGGCTTGCAGGAGACTTTGCCTTCGCTGCCGTCAGGTGTGTCTTTCTCTCCAGTCAAAGAACATTTTTTTACAATCGAGGGCGCAACTGGACCGAAATCCCCTCCCTGCAATCGGCCCGCTGTTAAAGGCCGCCGGGCCCACTGTGCAGGTCAAAGTCGAGGGAGGAGTGCTGGGGAGTTGGTTCCCAATCAGCAGTCCAAAAGGATAATGCGACTCCCATGTGAACACACACAATTGTTCACCCCAGCAGGGTCGGGAAGGACCGGGGGGGGGGGGGGGGGTCCGGAAGATGGAGCGAATTAAATGAGCGATAATAAAATCACAGAATAAACAATGCATCTTACTCCGGCGTCCAAGGTGGAAACAACAAAGGACTTGACCGGGTCTGACCGCAGTTTAACAGTGAGGGCGAGTGGGTTACCGCAGTCCAAGGCTGTGTTGCTTCACGCTCTTCTCTCTCTATCAGCGACAAGCAATTAAATGCAATTAAGCCGCAGGCCGATCAGTTTAATCAACTCGGGCAGAGTGAACATCAGCCGCCACCTCACACCCGCTCGGCTTGTAATGACCAGCAGGGTAGTTCAATAACCTCGGCGGGTCATTTGAAAAGCAGAAGTAATTTTCTGAAGGGAAAACAGGGACAAAGGAAGAGGGGGGGGCAGAGAATTTTGATGACGGCGTGTTTTCCATTGACAAAAAAACGAAGAGAGCTGAGTTAACACTCCTCCTTCCCCTTTCGCGTCTTTTCGAACAGAGAAGTGCACGTCCCATGCGGCGGCTCAGTGACGTCTCAGTGTCCCCAAAAGTCTCGACCCCTTCGCTCGTCATGTGTCTCGATGAGCGGCCGGCGATTCACTCGTCTGGCTCGGACGGGTTTTCGCTTCGCCGAGCTGCGCGTCGTCTCAAACGTTTACGAAACGTCTCCATTTGAAATATGAGACACGGACAGTAAGTCGGGACGGTAAGTCGGGGACAATGAGTCAAGTCCCTTCCTTCCAAAATCCAGCTCCCACTCCCCCTAAAGATGGTGTTTACACACTAAGTGTGTCGAGTTGTTTAGTTGCCTGCAGCTCTCCAGAGGGTCACATTGTGATCTTGGGCCCAATTAGGTCGCATAATAGAACCGGTGTGAAAAGTCGACACTGCGGGCCTTGTCCCTGTCGCCCGGGCGTCCGTCTCAGCGCCACAACGCCACAGGAGCAGCTCACTTAACTGGAGCAGAAACTCACACGGGCCATATGGAGACGGGTGCGCGTGTGCGTTTGTGCGTTTGTGGCGATGCGTGCGCGGGAGAGAGCGTGTGTTCCGCGGTGTGTTGGCGGGAGGCAGACGGCCTCCTTTTCCCGCTCGGGCAGCAGAGCTTTCGGTATTAGCCGGGACGCATGACTGGGATCAGGCTGGCATTGTGAAGTGTGTGTGTATAAGCACGTGTGTATTAGCATGTGTGTGTTTTTTGGCACGAGGCCGCTGGACACCGGTTATCGATAAGAACGCACATTCTGAACGTCGGCCGTTTTTCGAACTTTACTAACAAAGACAAACAAAAGAACAGCCTCCTCTACTTTTAGAGCAGGATGTGCATCCTGTATTTGTTTAAGTGAAAAGGGACAAATGTATTTACAGGTGTAATAAAAGTTTACACGCAATACGATGTGTGCACATGAGGAAGTATTTTACATTTCGCTGCTAGTCAATGCCTGTTATCGCGCTGCTGCCCCCTTTTTGGTGGGTGCGTGCGCGCGTTGTTGTGTGCATCGCTTTTCGCGGTTTCATTTCCCCCAAACGCGCGCGCGTCATACTTTGATTCGCCAAAAACAACACTGCGAACCGCAGCGCAACAGAAATCCTCAGACTAAACATTGCCCAGTCGATTGTTGTTGTCGCCGGCGTGCACTCGGGCCTCATTGACTCCGTGTGCTGTTTTTGTTGTCTATCGGACAACTTTCGGGTGGCATGTATCTGCTGGGCAACAGATGGTCCACCTCCCGTGAGCAGGGAGGGGTCAGACGGACAGGCAGAGCCCGTCCAGACCGATTCATTCAAGGCTTAGCAGGGCTTAGATCCAGGGCGGTGGGGGTTGGGGCCCCATGAAGGGGAGGGTTGTCTGTGATTCTGTGCGCTGGGAATTTATCGTAGCTCTTCTCGACACCTGAAAGTTGCTTAACCGCCAGCGTGCCGTCATCGTGGCTGCAGAGAGGATTATCCTCGCTTTAGTGCAACGGTACTGAGCCAACGGGGGGAGGCTGCTCGGACAAAGGAATAAGTCTGTTTCACAACGTCTAAAAGCCTAAACGCCTCTGTGCATTGGTGGGATTCAGTAGGTTCAGCTGTCGAAACTCTGAGCGACCTTTCCTTGGAGTACGTCTTAGCTTGCAGGGTCATCTGTGTTTATTGTGGAGGAGGAGGAAGAGGAGGAGGAGGAGGAGGAGGAGGGGTCTCACTGTGAAGCTCTGGACTTTACTGGAAACTAATGATGTCACCCACCCAGAGGGGGAGAGAGAGAGAGAGAGAGAGATCAACAACAGCCAGGACAATAGATCTGAGGGGAGTAGAGGCCTGACATTAGAGAAAAGGGAGAGAAAAGGGGGGCAGACAAAGTGGCTGGAAACAAAGCGCTCAGTTGACCCGAAGACGAGGCGGAGAAGGACCTGGCGTGTCTTGTGTCCAACTGTGTCTTCATGGTTCATACGGATCCACAGACACTCATCTGCTGATCCCTTTGCCTCATTAAATAACTATCGAATAACCGTGTGCACTTAGCGAGCGCCCGCTGCTCTCACATAACCACTTTAAGCTACTCTGATTGTCTCATTCGATGGTTTCATTGAGTTATAGCAGAGCTCCCGCGCCATAAATCCGAGCTCTTGGGTTTTGTTGCTTTGGCCTGGTCCGGGTCAAACCTCTGCTGACTCTGGATAAACACAGCGGTTTATGAACTCTGCCCTCTGCTGGGCAGTATGCTTAGGAAACACAAACCCTCCGACCG